CGAAGCGCTGGCTAACGAACGCTAGTGCTCTCGACGACCCGTCGTAGCTGCTCGTAGGTGAGGAACATGATGATGTTCCAGGGACCCAACCGAATCCAGTTGGGCAGGAAGCCACGGTAGAAGCCCCGCACGCCCTCGGCGGCCACCAGCTTGCGCGCGCAGTCGAGCGACGAACGGTAGTACAGCCCTCGGCCGTTGGCGTCCGATGGCTGATTCATCACGCGCGTCTTCACCACATCTGTTGGAATGTGCACATCGGACCGGTTGGTGCTATCAGCATCAACGATGAAGATGATCGGACGGAAGCTGCACGAGAGGTCGCGAGGCATACCGATGGGAGACGAGGAGGCGGTGGCCACGAATCCCGCGATGAAGGACGCGGCAAAGTGGGTGTAGATGTTGTCCTGCATGATGTTGTTGCCCAGCAGGAACTGCTTGCACTGGTCGTAGGTCGCCAGCTCGGCCGCAGCCACAACTGTAGGATCCAGGCGGCGATGAACATTTACAGTGAATCTACACCAGCTAGTCGGTACGGTAGCGATGGGTTGGGTTGGCCGGGTACCTGCGGCTCTTTGCGAAGTGGGTCCCATGCCCTTCCACAGGCCCGAGATCTTCTCCTCGGCCACGACGGTCTTGATGGCGTGCAGGAGGCTCCTGTACCGCTGGCCCGAGGAGCCCTGCATCCGCACCTTCAGCAGGTCCGTCGGGGTGAACACCGCCGCCGACACTCCGCCGGCCACCATTCCTGCCGCAGCATCACGCCACGCTCACGTTATGACCGCGCCACAGTGGCGACACAGTAGCTCGTAGTTGTCGGTACCGGCCAGGATCTTGGTCAGCAGTGGCGCGTCGGAGGCCTTGGTGCCGCCAAAGGCGAAGAAGTTGCGGATGGGCTCGTAGATTCCCATGCGCAGGCCCGTGTACAGGAACTGCCGCAGCAGGGCCGGCGCGATGCCCTTCCACAGGCTCAGCGCACCTGCAGGCGCGCGAGGTTGAGGCACGCACGCGTCCAGGCCCACCACTCTCAGCTGAGTGAAGGTATACCTTCCTCGCGGACAATGGTGGCGCCGGCGTGCAGCATCCCTCGGTACTTGGGAGCCAGCGGAACGGCACCAACGGAGTCGCCGGCCTGGGCAGCCAGGGCCATCTGCTGTCCTTGCAGCTAACCAAGCGGCACGACACGTGCGAAGTCAGCACGCAGAGTAGCGAAGGGTACGGGCAAGTGGGAAATGGAAAGCTACCTGAAGCCGGACTTTGGTGATGTCGATGGGCAGGGTCCAGGCCTCGGCGTTGCATCCGGCCAGCCCACCACAAAGCCACCCAGCCCACAGAGGCAGCGGTTTTGTCTCCGTGGGGGTGCGCTTCCCTGCAGACATGGCCGGCTGTGCGACAGGCGCATAGGGTTGGGGGGGGGAAGTTATGGGTCCATGTTCTAATGGAGACAAAGACATGCCAGAGTGAGGGAGGGGCACGGGTGTGGTGGCACCTACCAGCCGAAAACGAGAACAGAGCAAAGAATCAGAAATCAGCAGGAAATACATTTTATCTTCTACACCAGAGGCTGACGGAGTGGGCTAGCAAAGGAAATAATTGGATTTTCTTGGCTAATTTCTTCGGGGGAACGAGGAAACGCCACAAAACACAGCACAACAAAGATCTGAAGAACCACAGACTTCAGGGGCCTCACCATCTTGAATCTGACAACAACTGGTTAAGCACGTAGCTTTTTCTCCATCTTTTTGCACGGATCCCACAACATGTAAATTGACATGAAAAATGCATCTGGCAAGTAGCGCCCCAGGATGGGAATGGGAACGTCGAAACCCGGCCCGCCCGGTAGCACCCCTGCCGGTCGTGGAGCCAGTCTGCGGTCATACTTCATCAGCCCGCCGACGAGCCCACCCGCTACACCCGACAGCAGCCCGCCCCACAGCCCCCGGGGGTCCCCCTCCCGCTCAGGTACGCCCGCCTCACCATTAGCGTTTCACTTCGTGAGGTTGCAGCTGCCACAATGGCAGGCGATGGAGGGCCACGAACCCGTTCGCCTACTGAGCAATGCACCACAGACGCGCGATCAGCAAACCGACGCACAACGACTCAGCCGACGCCGATTGCCAGCCCATCGCGACCGATGCCCGTCCCACTCTCTCCCTTCTCTGGTGTGAACATGTGCGGTACGGCTATGCTTGTCCCCCCACCCCCACCCAAGCTCGAGCGTAACGTTGCTGCTGACACGTTCTCTCCCTTTTCTTCTTGTTTCTTGTTCGCCTCTTCTTCCCTCAGTCTCTCCCTCCGGTCCCGTGCCAACTGGACAGGAGCGAGTCGCCACCGTGTTCACGTGGACGCACGGCGGCAAGAACGTTGCCGTTACGGGTACTTGCTCCCATATGCGCCCCTCTTACTTCTTCGGCCCACCTTGTCTTACGTAGTCGTGTGGTTAGGAACGTGGAACAATTGGCAGGGGGTGATTCCGTTGAACCGCAGCGAGCACGACTTCACCGCCATCATCGATCTCCCACCAGGCGTGCACCAGTACGCTCCCCAACCACGTGCCAAACCTTACTCTGACTGCATTGGCTCATATGACTTTCAACGCAACCAAACCATAAACAGGTACAAATTTATCGTTGATGGCAAGTGGACCCACGCAGCGGATCAGCCTGTCGCTACCGACTCGGGAGGCAATATCAACAACTGCATGGAGATCAAGGAGTTCCGGCTTGGCCAGTCAAAGAACAATGCGCTGGGTATGCATACCCCTAGTGCAAGACTACATCTATTAATTTCAGAGTGGTGATAGCTGACGCGTGGCTTCTGCAACAGGGCGGGGGTCGCCACCGGGAAGCTACACACAGGAGATACCAGAGCTCATCAAATTCAATGACATGTTCGACGAACCACAGGACCTCGGCACACCCGGACCTGGCGGCCAAAAGAAAAAGCCTGATGAGCCTCCAGTTCTGCCGCCTCACCTTCTCGGCACGCGAGCAGTCCTCAACACCACCACAGGCACCCTGCCCTACCCTACGCTCTCCCTGCGCGCGTGTCGTGCGTCTATAGTGCCTTTCTGACGTTCCGTGTTGCGTAAATGGCCCTGACACAGACGATCCCACGGTGTTGCCGCTGCCCAACCATGTAATGCTAAACCACCTGTACTTCAGGAAGCACGAGGACGACCACAAGCGCGATATCCTCATCCTTGGCACAACTCAACGATATAAGGCACGCCGCAAGCTGTCGCGATGGGCTTCTCACGATCCATCTCAGTTTGTTCTAACCAGCACCATCACTGCTCCAACCTCCAACTCGAACAACAGGAGAAGTTTGTCACAACGGTGTTCTACAAGGCGGCGCCGGCACTAAGCGATGTAAATAGTGGTTCAACGACCACCTCGCCATCAGTAACGCACCGCCGCCCGCCGCCGCCGCTCGACATGACGGGCCAGCCAGCGACGTCCAAGCCCGTCGCGCGCCAGCTCTTCTCGCCCCGTGACGGCGCCATCGGCTCGCCGCGCCGTCCCGCAGCAGACGACGGCTACACCACCACTTCCGCCTCAGCTGCGGGTGCCTCAGCACCACTCACCAACCACCCCACGATGGCCCTCACCATGGACCGAGGCACGGGCGGCGGCACAGATGGTGGAGGTGGAGGTGGAGGTGGAGCGACGAGAGCTGGCCAAGGTGGAGCCCCAGGGACGACGACCGCGATGGACATTGTGGCCAGGCGGCGGGTGAGCGTGAGCGGCGACGGGGCGGTGCTGGGACGAAGTCCGGTGCAGGACGAGGGCGCCGGGCTCGACGGAGTCACGGACGTCCCCGTCACCACCTACCACGCCGACTACTCCCTCCGACAAACCATGGGCTGAACGTACAACAAGAACAACAACTCGTCTCTCTTTTTTGATGAGCAAAGACCAACAAAAAGGCGGGAAAAAAATAAAAAGCGATTGCCAGCGAAGTAAACTTGTGAAGATGCAAGCCGGCAAGAGAAAGATGCCTGGCGGGGGTAAGGCGCCAGCATCGTCCGCTGCTTCCGGGTCGACGCAGCAGCATCCACGACGTTTCGTTCGAGCAGAACGTCGTGGCGGGAGCGGAGCTGGTCGGGGAGGTGGCCGGGGAGGTGGTGGCGGCAATCGAGCTGGCAGTCGTGCCGGTCCTGCTGGTGGGGGCGGAGCTCTCACCGACCCCAAGCTAAAGGACAAGTACCTCGACTTCTACCGCACGCTTTCGCCGACAAGTACGAAATTTCCTCTCTCATCTCGCCTTCCATCTTCATCCGGCTCACGTTGGTGCTCTCCACAGTCAAAAAGGTGACGGGCCGGGTGCTGCACTCCATGCCAAAGCCTCAGCTGCTTACAAAAGAGAAGGCGCAGAAGAGGACCGAGGAGGAGATAGACGTCGACCTTCCTGACGAAGCCAAGAGCACGCCCTCGAAGAAGAAGCAAAAGAAGTCGGTGAGCATTACGGAGACGAAGGAAGAGAGGCGAAGCGGAAAGAAGAGGAAGCTCGCTTTGGACGAGGAAGGAGAGAACGGCCGCGCACTCTTGGTCTCCATTACCGGCGAGGGAGAGAAGAAGAAGAAAGACGAGGCAGAGCACCAGAACAAGAAGAGAAAGCTCGACCTCATCGCATGTGATGAGAAACAGGAAGAGGAGGAGGTGCCAGAGAAACCCTGGCTCACCTCGATCACCCTCTACATGGACTCTCCGCAGTCTCGACTCTCGAGCCCAATCAAGGTGCTCGGCCTCACCCCTCTACTTCGAGACTTGCCCAAGCTAAGCGCTCAGGGAGTACTGAGTCTCAACACCACGTCATTCGTATGATGTGCTGCTCTACACTCTCGTGCAGGTGGTAAGGCGGGAGGTGGCGTGGCCAACAGAGCACGTGGTGCTTCCCCGAAGTCAGGCGCAGGTGCGGTTGGTGTTGCAGAAGCACAGTAAGGGCCACTGGGGGCCAATACCCATGTCACCGTCCCTCACGCTCGTGGTCGAGAAGCTGGCCAAGACCGGCATCATGAGCGTGGGCCAGATGCACTCTTACAACTTTTGGTACACTCACTCCGGCCTTGGGCGACACGCCGCACAACTAATCAGGATGTTGTTCCCCGCGCGCAGGCTGAAGACACAGCAAGCGACGGTCTGCCACCGTAAGGTTGCGCAGCAAGGTGAGATCGCACGACCCTTCTCTCTCTCTCTCTCTCCCTTCATTGACACTCAAGGCTTGCCTTCAATCCCTCAGCGCCGCACCTCGCACAACTCTACGGCAGTGGTCAGTCCATTGTGGAGCTCTCCGCTAAATTCGATCTCCCACCTGTGGTAAGACCTAGTACCCCTTGCCGTGGGCCTCCGCGTTCAGCGCGCGTTGTTGTTGGTTGGCCTCACCACTCGGGTGTGATCTTCTTTTCGTCAGAGCTTGTTCCGAGCAATCATCTCCGCCCGGGACAACTTGAGCAAGATCGAGCTCAAACGGGCCATGAGCGAGGAGTCCGACCTCGACGAGAGGTGTGTACAGCCCTTGGTTCTCTCTCTCCCTGCTGGATCTGTGCCTCGTCGTGTTCACCGTGCGTGTGTGCGTTATAGGGATCGACTGGAACTTGCGAAGGCGCGTGAGGCCGACATGATCACCACC